CTCCAGCATTACCAAATGACAAAATCAGTCACCCCCAATCCCACCACTATTCAAATTTTGGGTGTATCGGGTGTTTGTGCTGAATTTGGTCCAGTGAATGAAAATACATCCTGCATATTTACATTATGACTCTTAACAGAAGCAAAATGAGAATTATGAAGTAGCAACGAAAATAACGTTATGGTTGGGGGTCACCACCACATGAGGACCCGTACTAAGGGGTCGCGGCATTAGGAAGGTTGAGAACCACTGATCTAAGGTGACACGGAAATATTTAGGATGGAAACAATGTTCAAGCTCTTAACCTTCCCTTAACTGCCTGTTAGGAAGGCCTATCTCCATAACAGGAGGTGCAGTGCTCTAAGCAGAACATTTCCTGTACAGCAGTGGTTCTCAACCTGTGGGTCCCCAGATGTTTTGGCCTTCAACTCCCAGAAATCCTAACACCCTTCTCTGGTTTATAACTCACTTCTCTGGCTTGAGCCAGACGCAGGAAAAGCAAACAGGAGGAAATTCACCCTACTCTGGTTCATAACTCACTTCTCTGGCTTGAGCAAGATGCAGGAAAAGCAAACAGGAGGAAATTCACCCTACTCTGGTTCACAACTCACTTCTCTGGCTTGAGCAAGATGCAGGAAAAGCAAATGGGAGGAAATTTAATTCACCCTTCTCTGGTTTATAACTGGGTTCTCTGGGTTGAGCCGAGGCCAGGGACAAGAAGCAGGGGAAAAGCTGAATCATTTCCGACTCACTTCCTGAGTCAGAAAAAAAAATGGCGAGACTATCTTCGGAAGGGCAAGGGGACTTTCGGTTTCCGAAAAAAGTTCAAAATCGCTTCAAAAAGATAATCTTTCTGACTTTATTCCAAATAACGAAGATCCCGACTGGACCTAACAATGCCTATTGCCTACATTGGCAAGGGATACCCCAGGGGTGGCTTTGGCAGCTCTTTCTCGAAAATAAAGCACTTGGTAAATTTTTTTGGTGGTCTCCCATCCAGTTATGAACCAGGGCTGACCCTGCTTAGCTCATATTTGCACAACTTCATTTCCAGCTTTACTAAAAATCTAATACAACCTGGATGTTGTTGGCTGGTGACTAAGGGTGCATCTACTCTGTAGAATTAATGCCGTTTGACACCGTTTAAACTGGTATGGCACAAAGCTATGGAATTATTGGAGTTGTTTTACAAGGCTTTTAGCCTTCTCTGCCCAATTGCAACTTCCAGGATGAAACAACATTGAGCTATGGCAGTTAAATGGTATTAAGCTGTATACATTTTACAGTGTAGGTGCATCCTAAATCAAGGTTCCTCCTTCCACCCCTCATTTTGGGTTATGTAAGAAAAGATGCCAAAGCAGTGTAAAAATAGATGCTGCCTCTTTTTCCCAAAGCTGGGAAAACAGGTAGCACCAGACAATGTCGGAAAATCTATTTTGAAACACTCAATGTAATCAACCAAAGCAGGTTTGAAAAAAGTGCCTATTTGGAATAATATGGATGTGAATTATGTCAGGTTTCAGAGGCCTATTAGTATTGATAATTGTTTGATTTCATTTTGAGGCTGCATATAATATGAGACCCCAAACTGTCGTTTACATAACTTGCGTGTAAATCTGGCACTGCTTATGAACATAAACTCATTACCAGTGTGTGCAGGAGTAGTCCAAAAATAAAGTAGAGAACCCGGTCTATTAAAAGCCTTTTTACTCCATCAAGCCGAGTATGAAGTCTGAAGGTGACATTATGGTGCCTTTTACTAATCTTTTGCTAATCTTTACTGTAGGCAGTTCAGTCTCCAGAGAGGTCAGTTACTAGGGGAAATTTTGCATCTGTTTATTTCCATAAGGCGCTCTTCTGGGTGCCACAACTGAAGGGAGATGTTGACAAGCTGGAATGTGTCCAGAGGAGGGCAACTAAAATGATCTAGGAGAACAAGCCCTATGAGGAGTGGCTTAAAGAGCTGGTTATGTTTAGCCCGATGAAGAGAAGGCTGAGAGGAAACATGATAGCCATGTATAAGTATGTGAAAGGAAGTCATAGGGAGGAGGGAGCAAGCTTGTTTACTGCTGCCCTGGAGACTAGGACGCGGAACAATGGCTTCAAACTACAGCAATAATTTATTTGATCCCTCAGTTCTTGTGGGTTTTTTCGGGCTATATGGCCATGTTCTAGAGGCATTTCTCCTGAATTCCCAGGACAGGGACAAAATAGACAACCTCACTTACAGGAAAATGGAGAAAAACATGGCTGTCCACACCAACAGACAAAAACAAAAATTCCACAAACGCCAAAAGCAACAGCCGAAACCAGAACTGGATACATCACGGACCATCATCAACCTGACAGACAGACAACTCTCTGAAGACCAAGTATCCATACTAGCGAAAGGAGGAAACTTTGCTGTAACCGCCACCAGGATCCCAGTAGAAAACATCATTGCCAATGTTGAATCAGCAATTTATCGCCTCCCAGAGGAAGAAGCAGAAGAAGTACGAGGGGAAGCAGCAAGTATCCTGAAAAAGGCAAAACTCCCCTCCAGTAACATCACAAGGAAGGAAAGACAAGCCATTGGAGACCTAAATTCAGATCCTGATATCCTCATTCTGCCAGCAGACAAGGGGAATGCCACAGTAATCATGCATA